ACCTTAACTGTCTAGCAATCACAGTACTAAAAAGCTTAAATATACCTGAAAGGTAAAAGATTTTATTCTGCCACATCTATTTTAATTTTTTTTTTTTAAAAAAAAAAGGAAAAAAATGGCTTGGGTTTTGGGATGCAGCACCAAAATAGGCAGTGTTTTTGCTTTTGTCCCTGTGGGCCAAGCAGCTTGGAGTAACTTGCTACCTATTTTAGGATCCACCTCAGGTGAGGCTGAGCCACCTCTGGAAGCTTTCTCTTTCACCACTTGCCAACAGAAGGAGCCCCAAGGACTAGCTTAGATTGGGTGTAAACACGCTTCAGGTGAGGTGGGACCCACAGGACACCACAGACTTATGTTAGCATCCTGTCCCACCTTCACCTCTTACATTCTCTGTGTCAGCCAGCTTATCTTTCATTTTTTTAAAAACATGACTATTTTGGAAAAAATAGAGCTGAAAACCCCTTCCACCTTTGTCTGACCCTTCATGGACAGGATTCCTAGAGGATTTGCTGGGGTTCTGCTTTCACATGGAGCCTCATGGGCACATGAAACAGCTCTGAAATGAGGTGCCCAATGCATGTACCAACACTGCTGACTACTGTGCCCAGAACACCTTTAAACACAGTCTAGGAGACTGACAATGACTACAGATATAAGGTCTGGAAGTCAACGGCATTTTTTTTCTGCTAGGATTTGTGTGTGCATTAATATGTTAATATAAACCCTGAAGGAAGCAGCTGATGCCTGGGAAATTAGAAGCTTTAGTTAGATATTAAGAGGCTTTAAATAAGGATGTGTGTATAAATCTGCTCAGTCAGTGTTTCTTTGGGTTCTGCTTTTTGCCTGGAGTGGGCCATGTGTGCTGTGTCTCCAAAACTCCCACTGTCCTGCCTTGCACCATTGTTCTGCTCTTATAGTGCACGATAATCATGCTTGGAAAAACAGCAGAGAAGTGAGAGAAAATAATTTACAAAGGAAATATGAACTAAATATGAAATACACAGAATAATTTTCATACTGCACTGACAGTCAAGACAGCCCAAGACATTATTTGCTTATTATTGATGCTGAAATGACTCCGGTTACAGCTATAATTAAGATCGTATGAATAATTGCTTTTCTAGTGTGGTCACAGAACTAAAAACTCAAAATATAAAATGTAAGTTACAATTGTCCTGAAACAGAACTGGCTTTGTTGTTTTCAGATTGAAATTAAATGGAAAAAAAAAATAAATTGGGTTGAAATTCACTCAGAGCAAAGACAAACGATTCAAAATCCAACCCCAAACTAAACATTCATTTCCTGACACTATATTTAACTTTTAAAATAAAGTAATAATAAAAAATACAGGTAGTCGTCTAAATTATATTTTTCAAATTAGCTGTTTTGTTTTAAAAAATATCTGAACAACCATTTTTCAAATTTCTTTTCTGCAGCCAAAGCTTTTCATTGGCTGTGTTTACCTGAAGTTGAAAATATGGTCACCTAAGGCAACCAGCAGCATTTTCCTGGCCTCCTAAACAATTCCCGTGGTTAGCCATGTATGACCTTCCCTCTCTCATCCTGTGGTGCATGAAGGATGAACTCCACTCCTGGCCAGGGCATTGCTGTGAATGGAGAAGTAAAAAGGCACTGTAAACATGACGTTTTTACCATCCAGGCCAAATGCTGCTGAATATAGTGGGAGAATTGATTTTCCATTGATTTTGTTGCAGTCTGCATCAAGGTTATTATTCTGGAAGCTGAACCTTTGCTTTGCATGATGGTAACGAGATGTTTCTCTGCGGCTCCAAAAAATCACCTTTAATGCACTGTTGAAGTCTTCCTGGGCTCAGACCATGCTTTTGCCACCTCTCATGCTCATATTTCACTTTGGTCTGAATTAAAACACAATTATTGCCACAAGTGCATAAGAGGAAACTGAGGAACAGAGGTTACAAGACTTACCAAGGCTGATGTTGGAAGTTGCAATCAGAAGTAGAAATAATTGAGGTTGGCTTTCATTTCAGCAGCCACGTACACATCTTTTTATCACAACCCCTGAACATGGTTCCCCAGCCATAAACTGGGACTGAGTTATTGCCACTGTTGGAGGTGCATTTGCTTGTGAGTTACAATGAATTTTCTAAGGCAAAATTCAACACCTGATGGGGGGAAAAAAGTGGGTTTAGATGAACATTTTTACTTAAAGCTTCTCTCCATCAAACTGTCACCAAATCCTCTCTGCTCAGCACTGTCAATTGATTACTTCAAGCCCTATATTACATTTCTTACTCATTTTTTATCCTTCTTCCTGTCTTCTGATTTATTGTCTTTAACCTTCGCAGACCCTTTCTGGCTAACTTGGAATATTGTATGCCTTAAATCTAAGGATTACAAAATGTTTGGAAGTGATTTAAGAATCTGAGTTATTACTCATTTCATGGGGTAGAAAATTGGGCCTTTTCTCTCTCTCCACATCAGAGGACATGCTGCTGGAGACAGACACTTAGCAGTGAGAGGAGACCCGCTTTTTAAGCAGGCCAGGGTCTCCGCTCTGCACAGTATGTGCATTAATAACCACAAAAGCAATAGTGCACTGCATAATGAACATGTGGAAGCAGTTTTACTACTTGATAGGATCTCCGAGCCAAAGAAGAAGTTGTCTGATTTGTCAGCATCTGGGAAGCAGCTCCACCGAGACAGAACTGTATTAGTCCTAGCTATGTATCCAACCTTATTAAAGACTTATGCTTTAAGTCTGCCTCTAATAAAAACCTGCTTCGGTAGGAGTTGGTCTTCCTTACCGTACACGAGTCACCTATTTTTAATGGAGGGCTAGTAGCACTTGCTACTGAACTGCTAAATCACTTCAAGCTCTTAGCCCACCTGCTTATTTTTCAGCGACACAGTGGAGTTTGAGTTCAGCTGAGTTTTTTAAAAAGCAAGCAGCTGCGGTCTGTGTCAGAAAGACCCAGCGCAAGTCACCAGCGTGACCGCGGTGAAGACGCAGAGACAGGAGACCAGCGGTCCCCTCTGAAGTGGGCCAGATGATGACAGCTCCTCTGAAGGGAAAGAAACCTGGAAGTTAACTCTTACCCAAGACCCAGAGGGCTCTGTTAATTTGGTGCTTCGGGTATCTGGCTGTCAGGCAGGTTCCTGCCTTCCCCAGCAGCGTTTGAAGCCCATGGGAGGTAGCCAGAGGCAGAACCACTGTGCGATGGTGGATGAAGCCATCTCTGGTATCTTGGCAGGCTTTCCAGCTGGTGTGGAAAACCATTCATTTAAGCAGGACTGCGCTGATTTATATTTACTGGAAATCCAATCTGAGGCTATCCAGTGGAAGCCAGGTCTGATACACGTCAGTTTTGTGAGAGTTATTATTCCTCTGACACAGCCTGCTGCCTGCTTTTAGTTCCTCGCAGAACTCATGTGTTCTTGGTTTACGCTTCATGACCAAACTGGCCTCAATCATTCAAGGCCAAAGACGAGATTAGAAAGATTGACATCTGCTAATGGCTGCTCGGCAGTTTGCCTGGGGTGCTTTATCAAACCTGTTTGCGGGCAATAACAGGCAGGAGAAGATTCCTAAAGGTCTTGGAGCTCCTGCAAGCATAATTCCCCTCTGCCAATGCTTGCAGCCATTTCCCCGTGCCTCGATTACTCCTGCTGTGCCAGGGCTTGGCCTTCGAGTACACCTTCCCCTCCCTGCTCCCAGGCAGCTCCCATGGGAAGCCTGGAAGCTGCAGGAACTCCAGCTTGGAGGCTGCTGATTGATGCCAGCTTCTCAGCTAAGAAGCGTGCGCCATTCACATCCAAATATTTCATCACTCCTCTGCAGACAAGGGACGGGAGCTGAGGGAAACACTGAAGACCCTTGTGGTGGCATCTGCCTGTGCCCCATTTGTGTAAAGTTTGCCAACAGCCGTCCTCTTGAGGACTCCAGAGCATTTCTTTGCTCTGGGGATAAGTTTGGAGATTCAGCTGGGAAAATTGATCTCCCTCCCCTCCCCCTGTGTGATGTCCCTTCAGACCCAGAGACCTCTTGAGTATTTTGCATGGTGTAAGGAGGAATTCTCCTCCAGTATGCTGGATATTTATTATTTTTTGTTATGTGTCTGGTGGGAGAGCAGAGCTTGGTTTCTTTGCTTGGAGAAGGATGCTCTTCATGGCAGGAGCTCAGCCAAAGTGAGCGGCCAGATATTGCACACCAGCATAGAAGCATGAGACTGGAAAAATAAATCTGGTTGCTAAAAGGACATTGAAGTCAATTAAAATTAGACAAGGAAGACTACCACTTTGGGACCCTTAAGTGTGTATATATATATTTTATTTTTTTTTTAATTAATTTATTTTTTTTTCCTGAGGTCTCCATTTCTTGCCTCACTCTGGTTTTCTCAGGGTCTACTCTGCACAGGCAGCAGTTTGTTTTTTGAGAATGGGCATCCTGCCCTCTGAGAACCATTACTTCTCTCCAAATTACAGGGATGTAAGATTTAGTCCAGAGCCCAGGGCTAAACGCAGACTCTGGCATATAGGCAGACATCTGGGGGATGTTTTGGAGGCCTTGGGCTCTCCCAGGGTCATCACCACGTGAGAAAGTCCCTGAAGCACTCACAGGACATATGAACTGGGACTTTGGCCTTTGGCCAACAAAGCCAGGCACCCAAAGGGACCTATTTTTTAGGGATAGGAGATAGGGAGATGTTACAGTAAAGGACCAAAATTCTCTTTTGACTCTATACCATAGACCATTCAAATATATTCCTGGCAACCCCTTCTAGGTATCCTTGCTTGAGCATGGGGTTTGAACAAGATGAGTTCCAGAGATCCCTTTCAACCCCAACCATGCTATGATTCTGTGATCTTCTTATTTCCAATGTGAGTGTCATATCTCTCTCAGCTGAGCTACCACAGGTGCCCGTGCTGATGACAGGAAATAAGACTTTCAGCAGGTCCCATCATTCAGGACAAGGCTTCTCCACCGTGAAGATATGAGAAATTTGCAACCTAGAAGCAGCTGTGGGAGGGAGGGTGCTGGGCTGAAAAGAGGGGCTGGAGGAACTCTGCCTTCCTGGAGCAGTGCTGTGTGGCAGGGACCATGCCTGCTGCCCAAGGGGGATCAGTCTCTCTATCCTGGTGTTACCACCATGCTTCAATCCCAGGGAGATGCTCAGCTGTGGCTGACGTGTGTGACTGAGTAAAGGTCACTCTCTTCCCTGATCCTACTGCTTGCAACACTTAAATCAGAGGAGCAATAACAAGCCTCTGTCTCTTAAGATAAAAGGGATATCAGCTTTCACCAGGCTTTTCTCCAATTGTCAGAAATCAGGTCAAGGGGCTGGGTTAAACAATTGCTGCCTGGCCTTTCCTTCAAGGTAAGTGCAACTTAATTCTCTTGCTTTGCACTGCACTGCCTTTTCTCAGGTTACTTTTTATGATGGGGAGGAGGACACAGAAGCTTCTTAGCCATACTGGCGGACACTGCATGCCTCACACTATTATTTTTAGTCCAAATTAGTACCCTGTCTGATTTTTAATGTCTCAGGTTAATGCTGGTAGAAAACAACATCCAGGTTTTGACAAGACATAAATGTTTTCTAATTTGTGGGAGGGTTTCCATCCTTATGAAGACCGGTTGCCAGTTATTACCATGGAGTGCTCTATGCAATGGTGAGGTGTGGAGGAACAAGGATTGTAAAGATTGGCTCACAGATTTCGATTTCACTTCACTATTCACTCAGAGTCCTGTTAGCCAGGATGAAGTGAGATCCAGATCTGAACCAGCTCTTTTGGCTTCTGCAGCAATAGCAGCAAAGGAAAGGAAAGACAGTCAGCCTCCTCTCGGCAGGCTCGAGCCCATCTCCTGAACATTTGTTGTTCGGGGCAGGGGGAAACTGAGTCAAGTCATTCTCTCTCTCATTTGTAAAAAGCTAAAGATGTCTGGAAATCAGATTCAGAAATGCAAGTGCTTCTTCAGCAAGCCTTCATCAGTTCAGGAGCCCAAAATAGTTATTAGCAGAGGATTCTCGTCCAGCCACAGGTGAATCACCCACTGGGATGATCAGGCCTGTAGCAGTTATGGAAAAAACAAGCCCCAAATATATCACTGTTCCCCACTACCCTGGCAAGATCAGCTCTTGAGCTAGGCGTTTAAGACGTTTTGGAGCTGGGGTGTAAGGCTCAGTCACTGCATCTGTGAGAGGTGTGAAACAGTACAAAGAGTCTGCAGGAAGCCACTGGTAAAGTGCAGTCTTCAGGAAACTCAGATTTGTTTTTGGATCAGATCTGTACCTGTCCATCTGGCAAGACTGAAACTGATGCCAGCCCGGGGGATTATCCTAACCTCGCTCCAGTGGTTTTCAGTGTTGTTTTGATCTCAGGTTGGAGTGGAAGAAAATTAAGACGCAGAGAAGGGGAGGTGCTGCTGGAGGAAGAAATGAAATGTCATTCTTCCCACCGTGATGCCTAGCTAGCCCTGGATAAACAAAGCCCAAGATGTACATATTGAGATTACATTTGTCTTATCTGTGATCAGACATTGCTGGAAACAGAACTTGTGAAACAACAGTGCGAGAATAACAGTTTTCACTGGTAAGGAACAAGCTGTTCTTGGAGTGTAGAGGGAGTTTTGACAGCCTCATCAACAAAAAGAGCCTGTTATAAATGCTGCCTGATTCCTACCCCACACAGTCCAGACCCATGGCAGGACCTGGCTATAGCTCAGCAGGAGAGAAGTGCCTCCATGTGTTTCCAAACTCCACCAGATGCATCTTCAGGCATGTAAATATCTTTAGCAGCCTGCCTATGCCTCTCTCCATACCTCATTTTTGTATGTGATAAATAGTGTCCTACCTTGGGGCTGCTGAAGAAAGAAATGTGCTGAAGGCCAAAAGGCGCTCAGGTGCCTGGGGTGCTGAGAAAATCAGCAAGGAGGGCTGGATGTCTTTGTCGATCTTTTTAGGAGATGGGGCAGACTCATTCACTTGCCTTGATCTGTGCCCAGTGGCAAGGAGCTGCATGTGGGGTCCCAAACAGCGAGCCCAAGGAACCCACAGCAGCACCAGGACCTCACGCATACAGAGGGGGAAACCTACAAGGCTGGGGAAGCATGGCAACAAGTGCTTTTCAACACCATTGTGCCATGGTGGAGGAGCTGCCTCCTTGCCTGGATAAGCACCAGGATGAGCTCCAGGCTCCCTTCTCCCACTTCTGCCTTGTGACGGGGAGCACAGGCTGCATTTTCCCCCATTGGTCTGAAGGTAGAGGTGCGTAGAGCCCCTGCAGCATCATTTATTAATGTTACCAGCTCTGTATTAACTTTACCTTGTCTGTGACCATTTCCTGGCTTGCTTTGAGGCACGCTGCTGTTTTCCTGGCTTGCATTAGCAGCAGCGTCACCAAAGCGCGGTGTTACAGCAGCACGAGCTGTCAGATGTGCCTGATTTGCTTTTCAGTGCAGCGCCAGACGGGCACGAGGCTGCGCACGAGCAGATCCTGTTGCAAGACTGGAGTCCTGGGACATGCACGCGTGTGTGCGCATAAGGGTTCATGCATTTGGAGAAAGAACGTTTCCCCTCCATCTGAGGCCAGCAGACTGAAATCCAAGCAAGCCTAAACTTCTTTACCATTGACGCCATAACAGCGTTTTGAGGTTTAGGAAAGGAGCGGAAAAAATGTGTTGCTGTAGTAAGGGGACTGTAATAAGATCTTAGCCTTGGAATACGGCGCTTTTCGGTGAGGCAGCGAGCTCTGCAGCGCTTCCGCCTCCTTGAGATTTGTGAGGAGAGATGTGCCCCAAAGAATGCTAGTCATCCCGAGCGGGGAGAAAACACAGCCGAGGGTGGACGGAAATACATCCAGGAAAAACAGGAGAGCAAGGATATTCTGTTCTCCTTTCACCTCCCTTAGTTTGAGCAGAAGGGTGTTGCTGCAGCGGCTGCTGGTAGCGCGGTGCAGGAGCTCACAGCAGCACTTAAAAGGAATCAAACTACAGCAAGCAGAGGAGAATAAAGTGCTTGTACCGCAGACAGCTGGTTGTCCTGACCTGCGCCCACTTGTTCCTGGCCTGTAGGGACCAGAGTTGTGTGGGGATGACGCCAGGAATGAGGCTGCCTCCCAGGGCTGAGCAGCTCCTGGATCCATTGCAACACAAGCCCAAGTCCAGCCATGGGGGCTGGTGACACAGCAGATGATGACACCACAAAAGTCACGGAGGCTCCAAATACCTTCTTGTTCGCTCCTCCATGTCTGGTCAGGGGAATATTTGTTCCAAAAGAGGTTTCTTTTGATTGCACTTCAGAGCACAAAGTCTGCAGCTGTCCTTAGTACTCAAGGAGAGCACTTAAAGGCAAGATAAGGTCTTCTCCCCATTTCCCATTCTTAAATAATCCTGGTTAGTCTGGGCTGTCACGTTCAGTGATGTCAAAGCTGACTTACCACACAGGTAGCTCAATGAGAAACATCAGTTCTATGCTTGATATAGATCAAAAATGGAAAGATCTAATGTTACAAATCATCATAGAAGGAATAGAGGGAAGAACAATATATTTTTTCCCATGATAAATCCATAGTGTGCCAGCCTTTTTGCACAGTCTTGATCTCCCTGTCTCAGGAAAAAAATAGGAGAGAAGATACAGAGAGGGTGATAGGCATTGTCAAAGGTCTGGGCTACTCTGTATACAGAATAATTTCAGCAGGACTATTAATCATAAAATGCAAAAATGGAGATAGTTTATGGAGTTAAAAGTGTGCTGGAGATGATGAGAGCTGAACAATTGTTCATCATCCACCAACCATGAGGGGACCACATGAAACTGGCTGGGGCATGTTGAAAGCAGACTGAGGTGGTGGTCCTGTGCTCAGTGAGTACCTGAGCTCTGGAGCTCCTTGTCAGGAGACACTGGGTGCTGAGGGGTTATGTGGGTTTTAAGTCCATTGGCCAGTATTTTCTTATAAAAGAGGAATTCATGAGGGCTGTTAAATGCCAGAAGATAAACACTGGATTCCCAATGAGAAAGAAAGAAAAAGAAAGAAAGAAGGGTCTAGTCTTGTTAGGTGTAGGTAAAAAACTAGAAATAAGAAAATAGAAAGGAATGAGAAAATGGAAGGAATGTCCCATGTTTCAGAAAAACGTGTCTGGGGAATGAAGTCAGGCTGGTGGGAAAAAACATTCCACATGGATATATACCTAAAGGTATACCAGCAAGTATTGTCTGCTGAAGACGGTGTCTCCAGGTGTTTGCAGGGCAGCATCCTGGTGTCTAAAGAAAATGTTGTAGTAGTAATTCAGTGAATTCTTCAGAGGAGCTTGTGATGCTCTGACCGCATATGAGCGTGTTGTCTAGGAGCAGAAGACTGGCAAGGAGACTGAGAAGGGTGCAAATTTTTGTTTAGCTCTAAACTGAAATTCTTTTGAGGTTTGTTTCTGAGATTATGTAACCATTTTTTCAGGGATTTGAGTCCAGCTATTCAGGCAGAATGGAGCATTAAGAGCCACAGCCTCCTCTGGCTTATCATCAGAGTGAAGCCAACACTCCAGGCACAGCGCAACTGGGACCACTGTGTTGTTACTTGGAAATCGGCCAGGTCTGCAGCTGAGACATTATCAAAATGCGCTGCCTGTGAGCAAGTATCAGCCTGAATCTACAAAGTTATAAAGAAAGATGAATCTTGAATCTGATCACAAAAACCTACATTTCATTGGGGCTAATCAAAATGACGGGCTGAGACCTCAGCGCCTGGGATCTGCACTGTGTGGGTATCTACCACGGGATGGATGTACAATAGACATGCAGTGAGATATGTATCAGCACAGCTCATCCCAGTCTGCCAAGCCAAGTTATTGATGGGAATTGCACTACTTGCTGATTGAAATCACTTTCTGTGATTGAAAATCCAGGAAAGGCTCAAGAGGCCAAATAGACACCAAGCAGAAGTTTACTCTTGCTGCCTGTTAGCCTTCTAAAACTGAAGCCTGGTCCTAGCTGCTTCCCTAGGAGCTTTCTACCTTCACAGGGGGGAAGGCATTTCCAGGGAATGACTGATTTCACCTATCTTTGACAGTTGCTTTAAGATGGAAATGCTCATCTGGATGCAGAGGCATCTGAGACAACAAGTTTAGACTTGAATCCCGCTTTCAGATGCCTAACATTAGATGAGATAAATTCCTTATGAGGGTTCTTGAATTTTAATTCTTTCTTCAAATCTATTGCTGACAGCTCAAATATTTCCCTGCAAGCTTTCCTTTCTCTACAGTATAAGGGAAAAAGTTCACTCTTCTAACTTAGTGGAGACTTGAGCAGGTGAGGATTTGTACAGTAAATCCTTATTTGAATTTCAATTAAATTTCAAGTAAAGTAGCTAAAACCAGGCAGTAATAAAATGATGACAGACACTTTTTCACCAGTGATGGGGTATTGCACATTATAGAACTTATTTTTCGCAAGTTCTTATTTTTTTGTTATTGTATTATTAAGTCTCTGTTCTTATGGGATATGAGGGATAAAATTTAATGGAAATTCCATAGCATTTGCAGTAGCTAAATCGGAAAAAGAAGTCGCTGTAACTCTGAGGGACATGCAAACTGCTGGCCTGATCCTGCCACCCAGTGTGCATGATATTTTCTTGCTTGAATGAGCCCATTAATCTCAGTAGAGCTGCTTACATGCAGAAGCATTGCAAGTTCACATCAGCCTTCAGAACCATGGTATGCATTCGATGCATTCAGCTGCCAGTTCTGCAAAGGGGAATCAGGACTCATTTACTGATGGGGAATGCTTTTTCTTGGTGTTTTTTTTTTTTTTTTTTTTTTTTTCAGTACTGGATTTCACTATGTTTACTGTGTTTCTTTTTATTTATTTATTTTTCCCAGAAATGCATGTTCTCACACATTCATCAGCTATGAGACTGGATATAAAAACAAACCAAGGGATAATTCTAATGGATAGTGAGATTTTTAATTAACATCTGGAAAGTATTTTAAACTATTTCTCATGACAGATATGCAACCTAGAGCAGAGAGTGTAGCAGAAAAAGCTGAATTTTATTCCCCTTCTCTAGGTTTAACAAGACATTTTTGTCTGTTGAAACAAGTGGATGAGAAAACGAATCCTCAGGCAATAGATTTCCACTCATCACCAACAGAACACGCTCATCTACCGTTAGATGTACAAAGTACCTGTATTTTGTTTATTGGCCCCTTGCAGAAACTGGTCATGCATGTCTGGAGTAAATCACTGGTAAATCAAACATAACAAACTAAAAAAGCAATCTATAGGGTTTCCTAAAATAATCTCTGGTGTATATGTGCAAATGTATAAACTTTGCAGCTCTTGCAGGGGTGTAGCTGAGGACAGAATGTTACCCTTTGAGTTTGGGTGGTTTTGTGAAACACATTTTAAAAAGCCCACAATATGCCTCCTAGAGTCATAAGTCAGCGGTTGGGTGACTGGTTTGAATTAAGACAACGAACAAAGACAAACGAAACATAATCCTGCACGTCTGTACATTCTGGAGGCTTTCCTCTTCATTTGGTGTCAGTACTGAACCAAAAGTATTTAGAGAGGCAATATTATTGAACACAACAAATAGGAAGCAAAGCATAATTTTTGTTAGGGGTAAGTCATCCCTTAGGCAGAAGCATTCCATCAGTCTTACTGCATTTCACTGCACTGAATTATGGTTAATTTGTGGTCGGAAAAAATAGAGGCACTGTGGTTACTGCAAATTATATACTGTGTTTCCAGTTTAAAGGGAAACAAAAGGCATGTGTTGTAAATATAAACTTTTTTTCTCCAATTTTAAAAACAAAAATCCATTTGGATGCTTAGTTCAGACTCTATTCAGCATCTACAGTAACTATGCTATTTCAGTGTTCATTTAGGAAATATTTCTCTAGTGGGAAAATGAAAATCAGTACGGTTGAATAATTGGCAAGTATGAGTTAACTGTATTCTGGTGTCTAGCTCTATACAATGGTGACAATATTTGCTCCCTGATGGCATAACCAGAAAAAGAACATTTTTGTGTTGAGCAATGACAATTATTAGCCATTAGAAGAAAATGCCAACACAAACGTTGGATTCTCCCATCATTTGGGATCTCTAACTCAGCACTGTAGCTTTTCCCAGAGGATATATGCCAAACATTAGAGCTTAAGGCAGGAATTGCTTGTTAAGGATTGTTTCTTAGGAGGTCAGGCTAAATGATCCAAATGGTGGTTTTACCCTTAAGATTTTTGGCTTAGGGACTGCCATTTGGGACACGGTTTTTGTATTGTCGGGCCTTGACTATGGGAACCTCCTTAGCAGAGATATGCAGTTTTGATGATGTCTGCTGTACATTTTGCTTTCAAAAACTTGCATTATTCTGAAAATAACTGAGCCTTGAATATTGCCTACTGCTCATTTCAGAGAGAAAACCAGTTAGTCAGAAATGAAAGGTTCCATTTTATCACTGATGCAATATTTCTGGAAAAGGAAAGCTCCATTCTGCAAGGCTGCTTGCCAGCTTAAGTAACATGCTGAGGACCTCCAAACCCAAAGGTTCATATTTCTGGGAATTAAACCAAGAAGAAATCTGGGCAGCCTGGTAGAGAGAAAGGCAGATGTGGACATAGATGTGATGGAAGGTTTTGTACTGCAGGATTGAGAAGAATGCTTTATACAGCAAGCTGCCTCTTCCTTCTTCCAAAAGTGACCTTGAAGCAGAAATTTTGGACATCATAAGCCTTTCCCCCTGCAACAGTGTTGTGCAATTTTGTGTAGCTTTTTTTTTTTTTTTTTTCCCCCCCCCAGGGCTGTAATTAATGTATTGGTTTATTTGGGAGAATGTGCTCATGTTATATTGATAGGTCTGCAGTTAGGCATTAATGGCAGTGATTACTACTGGTTCAGCCAGGGCTCGAAACAATGGAAAAATCTCATGATAAGCTCTCAAAACTTGGCTGCAATTTTGCAAGCACAAGTAGTTTTGGAAACTTTAGATAAGCTTCCAAAGGTTTAGATCCAGGTCCAAACAAAACGCAAGCATTAAAATTATGAGGCTTGTGCATCACTAACACATACTACCATATTTACTTCTATGAGGAAATACTAAACATTTTATGGATTTTTCATGCCCCAGTTGGTTCTCTACACTGGCTGGGATTGCTGTAGCCTGCCGTTGCAGCTATATAGACATCAATAAAGATGAATAAAGCTGGGCAGTCAGATTCTAATTTATGCTGATCGTTTGGATGGCTCAGGGCACTTCAGCACACATGCTTAGCCAGTGACCTTTCACACTTGCCTTCTAGATCAAAGCACTTTATTCGTCCACTTCCAAGAAAATCACAAAGACAAAATTCCCATTCAGCATGCCTTTATTAATCTACAAAGGGCCAAATCCTGACGCCTTTAATCTGCTCCTACTCGTCACCGCAATGATTTAAAGAGCAGAGCATTGCCTTCAGAGGGCTGGGCCCAAAATCAATATGGAGAAAGGCCAAACGCTCTGTAGATATAAATGAAGACGGGACTGCCGTGTTCAGACAGGATCTCACAGTCTCCATACTCCCTTGCTTCCAAGCCCTTTGTCTGTGAATCTGATAAATCCTCAGCAAAAGTTAAATTTCCCTTGTGCATTTTTCGCTTTGCTGTTTTTTGCTGAATGCTCACTGTCTCCTGGCAGATGTTTGCTGTGCTGGGTCTTGCTTGCTATGGGGAACTCACTGGGTGGCCCTCGGGGAGATGCACCAGGATAGGCAGGTGCTCCATGCTTCACAGGATCTAGTTGCATAGCACCTAGTCTATATTCCTGATAATTTCTTCATAACTAAGTACACTCAGACAATTTCTACAAGTGTTCATGCAAAAGGATCTGTTCTGTAATCCGTCGGTGCAATCTGTTCGGGTCTCTTGAGGCTGTAACAGGCGAACTCCCCCAAAACTTGCTTCCAATTCACAACTGTGTCAATGAAAGGAGAATCAGGGCATCTGATACACACACATGAGAATAAAAAGCATCCCCAGGGACTGTGGATTGGTCACAACTTCAATTTTCCTCCTCCTGATTAATTTCCATACTTCTGAAAAGACAAACTTCTGTTCACTCCTTATGGTTTATGTTTGCTTGTGTTTGATACTATTTAAATGTGCTTTAAAAAATCAAGCAAGCTCAATTTCTTGGTGGTGCTGAGCTTCCTTTTCAGGCTATGTTCTCACTCTCAATCCTTGTTAAAAAAAAGTACGCTCAATAGAACTATATTTTTTATTTTAGATTTTTCATCAGTTTTAACAGCAGTTAACACATCTCTGCAAGGATAAAAAGGTTGATTTTTAAAAAGAAAGTATTGAATATATTTCCCTCAACAGAAAATTAGTTTTTCAGTAAAGCACCTTTTCACAATGGGTCCTTCTTTCCGTAGAAATATCTATTTTACTTAACAACTCACATGCATTTAAATAGAGTTGAAAACAAAATATTGCAGCTATTACTTGGAACACAGGACAAACCTGATTCTGCTGAAAATATCAGGACTTTTCCCGGTGAGTATACTTTTCAGGACAGCTGAAGGAATATCTCTTTTACATCTGTTTCACCTGGCAGACAATATGCCCGCTGAAAACCAATTAATGGTTAGTGATAATTATCTGAGATTGAAATTTCTGCCTATATTCATTTTTAATGATGGTTTTGAAATATTAAAAGCAAGGAAATGGGCAGATCAGACGACAGATTCATAACCCAGCTGTGATGCCACAGACAGAATTAACAAAATGAAGACAAATACATGTTTTTAATGAGCTGGGACAGAGCTAATATGTTAATGAAACACCGGTTTTAGACACCTGGCCATAGAGAATTTCCTTTTTCCTGCTAGAATTTGGATCGAGGTTGAATTGCAAGCGTTTTTCACACGCTTTAGAAAATTGCATACCAAGAAGAGGATCTCTTGGTGCACTGCTGCCATGCACTCTTTGGGAGCAGGGATGTTTTCCTGCAGACCCCTCAGAGACCACTCACCTCAGCACATGCTCTGGGAGCTCTGAGGGTGGTTGCTTTACACGTTCAGAGCTCCTCTAGGAGGTCTGCAATGGATCTCAAGGGTGTGGAAAAAAAAAAAAGTATATACAAGGTATAAATGCACATTGGTACAAAAGGTGCCACGTGAAGCTGCTGGAGCCTCAGAGAGTCAACGTATGCTCAGGCATGTTGAGCTGAAAAGCTGTTATTTCATCCTGAGCTCACACTCTTGTGCCTGGCTTTTGGAAACATGCTCGTTGTGTACAAGCTCAGCCATACATAGGTTTTACTGCATCACTCTGCAGTCTCTGTAGTCCTTTGTGCTTCTGTGTCTTGGTTCCCCATATGGTGTCTGCAGCACACCTGTAGGATGGAGGAATGCTGTCATCTGGACCTGGGCACCCATATCTTGAATATCACCTTTGGTAATATAAGATGTGCTTGGATCAATAATTGCTATCACATTTACACTTAAACCAACAATCTCAGAAATTGTTGTTAAAAACAAACCAAAGAGAAGCCAGAGGGGTATTTCGAGATCTCTGACCACTCTGAGAGTTTTGTAGGTGCAGTCGCAGCCCCTGCAAGCAGAAGGATATTTCCAACCCCCAGCTAACTGTTATCACTCCACTCTTTTTCTTGTCATCTCTCTCTATATATATTTTCAGGAAAGGTGCAGCAGTGCTAAGAAAGAGTATTTCTGGTTCAGCCACATGTATTTGCTATAGGGTCTTGACAAACTGCTTCTCCAGCCTGGGTCCCACTCAGATTCACAGGGACTTGCTGACACACAACTCCAGTTTCTGAACTGCTCTGGGCGCCTCGCTGCCAGATCTCCTGCTTCAGACAAGTGCTAAAAAGGACCGTGTTACTATCCCCAGCTCAGGCCAAAGCATCTGGCAACACAATGAGTGATTTTTCAGCCTGCTGGCCTGGCTCACACAATTTGAGTCTTAATTCAGCTTCTCCTGGCAGGACTCTCACACTGTTGCCTGCTTGTGGATGTGTGTCAGCTGGATGCCTCATTCCTGTGGAGGATGAAATGGAGCCAGGCACCAAGCAGATTTTTCATCTTTGAATGCCAGCTTTCTTTGTTTTACTTGTAACTGCTTTTGTGTTATAGCTTACTCACCTGAAGGACAGCATGATTATGCTAATTTCTTTAAGAAAGATGCAGAAGAGTTCGTTATTAGCGAGCTTCTGGAAACCAAGACCTGTAGATCTTTGGAAAGAGGATGGCCTTGGGAAATCCTGCAGTGAAGTCAGCGGTGGGTGTCCCTTACAAACAACTCCTGGCATCAGAAAACTGGTGGGGGGATTTTCTGCAGAGACAAGTTTCTCAGCTCTCTTCTAGACTACCTCAATTTAAATTATGAAATCTGCCTCTGACGTAAAACAAGTCAATAAAGCTTTATGAGAAAAATCGTGTCTGAGAATTTACACCTATCTAACACTCATCAACCATACAGAAAATTACACCTGCGCAGGGTATGGGGTGTACATCACCTTTAACTTTGTTGGAAAGCTGTATGAGGGTGGGAATGCACAGCACTGTCCAGTGCAGGAGTCCTGCTATGCTGCCAGGTGGTGTTACTGACCAAGGGAATTTCCCATGAATATTGGAGTTTTCCAGCAGACAGGTGTTCAGCTGGCTGCAGCACCAGTCAAAGGGGAAGTCCTACAGGAGGGTAAAAGCCTTTTATGCTCTCATGATTCATGAAAGATGAGTGGAGTAACGAGACCAATGCTGCTGTTGCAGACATCTTTCCAATTTCTGTCTGATGTTCATGTGCTTCAAAGATGCTGTGCACTCTGCTGACAGGACACGCTGCTGCAAACTGGAATGGAGGACACATGTCCCTGGGCTTTATCTAACATCTAACCTTGCTTTGATGTTATCTCTGAAGGGAAAGGTCAGGGAAAATTGCTATCTTTTCCCAACAAATTGAGCAGATAAGCAAAGTCCTGCAATAATAGTTGGCAAAGAAGATTGCCTCTTTAAAGTCAGCTTGCTGCAGCAGGGATCAGCCACTGGCTTTGGCAGGTTCACAGGAGCCAAACTCATGAAGACTGGGCTGAGCAGCTCTAAGAGCTGCAGAGCTGATAGGAGCCCAGGGCCAGCTGGCTGAGTAACTGAAACCCTGGAGACCCCAAAATCCATAAACTGGAGAAGAGCAAAGGGGAAAAGAGAAAGAAAGGGTCTACATCTTCTCCCCCAGGGACCTGGTGGCTTCTTTCCAGCTCTTTGATGCCACATAGCAAACACGTCCATGGGGCTCGCTGTGCTGCACCCCAGCACTCCCTGTGGTCATCTCACACCACGTCCTCCCCATCTTCTCGTGACACAACGCCGATGACATTGCCACACCACACTATGCAGCCCGTTGGCAGGGGGCACGCTCCTGTCACACGGCTGGCACGCTGCAACAAGCCCCACTTTTCTGTACCATTTGCTTTCCAAATCGGGGGCTGGCGCGCTTTCCAAATCGGTGAGGACATGCAGTGTGCCAAGCAGCGAGGGAAGATGCAGGAACGGCGTGATTGAAAATGTTAAGTAATCACCGGGGAAGTTAAATGAGCTAGATTTCCAGGGAAAGTTAAAGGATGAGTTTGTGTGTGTGTATATATATATTTATAGCCATATACTTATATTTACAGTCATATATATGTATATATACATATTTGTATGCACCAAGATAGAAGATGAGGATGGTTTTAGAACAGAATTTGCAAATTTTCAGCATTTCCTCTGGTATGATATTTCCTCGGATAATGTGCAACTGATGTGTGGGGGTTGCTCCACATCTATTTCCTATTGCAGACAGAGCTATTACTTAGGTAATCAATATTTAATCTCTATTAAGGGGAGTCATTTTTAAGGTTGCTTTAAAAAGTGCATCTGCAGCACTGGGTATAAATCACGGCCCTGCAGAGCTGTGCTGGGCTCAGGATATTTTCATGTATCTTGAGGGAGGAACAGCCCTTTGCATGGGGAGGGAAGAAAAAAAAAAAAAAGGAAAGAAACCCAAGAAGCTTGGGTAGGTCTGCCTATTTCAGGCAATGGAGTGGGTCCAAAACAGCACAGGCTTGATTCACACCCTGGTTTTTGTAATGGTGATAGAGAACGTGGGCGAAGGGTATCAGCATCTGTCCTGCTGTGAGTCAGCAGCTGTAGCCAAGCTGCCTGCAGCCATCTCTCTCCTCCACTCCCAGAAAGGCAGCTTGGGCAAAGATGAAATGTTTTGTCGAGATACATTGGTTCATAGCAGGAAGGGCTGGGGATAGTCTGATAGAGACAGGCTCAGCTGCTAAAGGCTACTCTACTGGCTGGGAATGCAGAGAATCAGATTTAATCCTTTCTCTGCCTAATTTGGAGTGATCTGGGATGAAAGTGCTGCTCTGGGTGAAGGAAGGCAGGAATTTGAATCCGTTCTGCTGGGACCTGCATAGAAAGTTTCTTATTCAAAGCACAGTTTCAAAGCAGCCTCAGCAGACTGAGTCCCCACCACTAAGCACACCAAGGGGCAAAAGGTGAGCGCCCCAACCCCTGTGGCTCACTGGTTGCCAGTGGTCATACTGGTCCCAGTTCAGGCAGTGGCTGTGGTGGTGAGAGCTCAGGGTGTTTGTACCTGCTTCCCACCACAGCCCTGACTCTGTGACCCCCCCAGGGAGAGAAAGGACTCCCAGCCTTTCAAAAGACATTCATGATTGTATAACCACATAGATTTTATGCTGAAATGCCTTTTTTAAAATCTAAGAGCTATACAGATAGGTGAATTCAGTAGGAACTGGATGGGGTAAGTGATAGCTGTGCCAGTTTTAACAGTATTTGAATAAATCAAGACAAGAGCAAGGGTAAGACACGTATCTGTGAGCCCAGCACTGAAACATACCTGATGCTACAATTTTCCTACCTATAACTACGATATAAATCTGTGACTGCTCTCCCAGGCTGCTAACTGCACTCATATGGGATTGGGACACCTTTAACAGCAAAGAGACATTTTGTTTGGATATGATCTGGCTAAAGATTTTGAGAAAACATTTAGGTATTAGGCATGAAAAAAAGGCATGGGGGGTGAGATTTATTCTGAGATTTATCAGAATTATCAGAAATAAACCCTGAGTCAACACAGCTTGATTATTTGCAGTCAC